GAGCAGAAGCTCAGAGTGTCACCTGGAGAGGATGCAGGGCTAATCTGTGGCCCACCTCCCAGAAAGGTTGGCCCATCACTGCTCTAGCGAATCAAATATATGAGAAAAACCAGAACTCTTCCAGCAATGTGCAGATATGCAGCTAACTCAGTTCTCACACTGAGAGGGAAGAAAAGAGGGGACAGTGGCTGCACTCCAAGCTTACATGATCCAGCCAGCATTGAATAGAGTTGGTGCTGCCTCATCTGGCATGATATAGCTCCAGGGGATGTAGCCAATTTGGTTCACCGTGGTTCATTTAATGAGGGCAGAGGCTGCACTTCATATTCTTCTGATGACTACAAAAAGATCTCAGCTAACAAATATTGCTTGCTTAATTGCTACTGGCTCATACTTCTAAATTATAGTGAATGAAAAATGGGGGAGAGACTTAGAAAAATCTAGATATTTGGGCAGCTCTAACAGTAATGGGAAATCAAGGTTTGTCTATAACATTACAGAAGAATCGCTTAAGAGTGTTATTTTTTTTGCTGATACAAGTATTTTGGTAATCACCCGATAAGTTAGCAGGCAATTACTCCAAGGGACTCTTATACCATCTTGGGGATCATGAAGTTTCAGACTTCTCAGGTCATGATGCTTATGCAGGCTGCATATGACTTTAAGTTAGCCTTATGACACCACCAGATGTGCATGGGATCTTCTTGTTTCATGGGCTCTAGAGCTACTGTGAAGCATTGGTGCACTAGAAAGGAGTCCTAACACACAGAAGTATATGAATCTGATGTGACTCTGTGATTATAACCATCTTCTCAGGATAAACTAATCAGGTTAGGCCATTCTCCACAGAAATCCTGCAGCAGTTGAAGCACACCTATTTCTCAAAGCCAGTCATGAGCAGATTAAGCTGACTGCTGGCTCAATATGTCTCTCTCAGACCTTGAGTGGCATTGCCAAGGTCTGGCTGTCAGGCTCCTGTCCTGGTGTTTACCTAACTTTGCTTCAGGCTCTTGCACAGCCTTATCTCTGGCTCCCTGATTCCTTTAAGGCATTTTTCTCTTAATATTTGACATAATCTTTTGGACTTTTTCTGGCCCAGATCCAGAGTGATAATTTTGTTCTTACCATTTCTCTGAACTTATGCTCTACCTGAGAAAAACACATGATGTAGTTGTAGGTGTACTGAAGCAAAGATGTCCTTTGTAGAGATAGCTTATTTCCCTTCTTGCATGGGGATAATGAAGTTGGTATCAAGTAACCTTATGCTGCTTAATGGTATCCACACTTGGGGGCTTTAACAATATGGCCTTAGTCCAAGTGGTACAACCTTCTAAGATAGAAAAGACCATAAATCCATAGTGATCAGAAAGATACAGTCATGTTTTTCTGTATGCTTTGATCTTTGTGACATAAGCCATTCTGATAGGTGCAACAATTTTTAGGAAATCCTTTGGTATACAGTTTGACAAAGACAAAAAGAAAAACCTCAAATCAGTGACCCTCATACAAAGTACAGGGATATGCCTTCTAATTGGCAGAATGTCCTAGCCTCATTTTAGAGGTTCTCTTTAATTTCCATATGAATTTAAAGTCCCAGACACCATTCACTGAGCTGAAATGTCTTGCTATAATAAAAGGCCTTGCAGTTGTGTCTAGTTGGATTTACCATGCTATTTAGTTTTAGTACACACAAGCTACATATCCTTTAACTGCTCTATAATTGGTCCAGTGCTCTTAGCATCTGTTGGGTAGAGTTAGACAATTTGCGAATCAAAACATAAGTCAATTTCTTAGAATTAAATATGCATTACCAATCATTTGCTCAGGTCTTCTTTCAGATTTAGGGACCTAGCAGACCTCCTGAGGCTAAAAAGAAAGGCCTACAAAGGATGGAGGATGGGAGTCACCTCCAAGGAGGATTATTCTGCACTGGTCCGGTCCTGTAGGGAGCAGACCAGGAAAGCCAAGGCTGCAACTGAACTCCAGCTAGCTTTGAGCATCCAGGACAATAAAAAGTCCTTTTTCAGATATGTGGGGAGCCGGAGGAAAAGCAGGGGCAACATTGGACCCCTGCTGAACCAGATGGGGCAACTGACAACTGACGCCCAGGAAAAAGCCAACCTATTAAATAGGTACTTTGCGTCAGTCTTTAATCAGTCCCATGGGACGCCCATGCCCGCTACGGGACAGGGAAGTCCGGGTGAGGGTGATCCCCTGCCCTCCATTAATACTGACCTTGTGAAGGAACATCTTGAGAAGCTGGATACCTTCAAGTCAGCCAGCTCCTTGAGTACCCCGGGGGTGAAGATTGTCAGGGCCGGCTGACTTGAAGGTATCCAGCTTCTCAAGATGATCCTTCAGAAAGTCAGCATTGATGGAGGGCAGGGGATCACCCTCACCCGGACTTCCCAGCCCTGTAGCGGGCATGGGCGTCCCATGGGACTGATGAAAGACTGACGCAAAGTACCTATTTAATAGGTTGGCTTTTTCCTGGGCGTCAGTTGTCAGTTGCCCCATCTGGT